TGTGTGGCATTCATCTGGTCTCTGATCTGAGCTGCTGTTAACTTGCGATTTCTGAGGCTGGTGACTCGGATGAACTTATCCTCAGAAGCAGAGGTGACTCTTGGTCTTCCTTTCCTGGGTCGGTCCTCATGTGTGCCAGTTTCGTTGTAGCGCTTGATGGTTTTTGCGACTCCACTTGGGGACACATTTAAAGTTTTTGCAATTTTCCGGACTGACTGACCTTCATTTCTTAAAGTAATGATGGCCACTCGTTTTTCTTTAGTTAGCTGATTGGTTCTTGCCATAATATGAATTTTAACAGTTGTCCAATAGGGCTGTCGGCTGTGTATTAACCTGACTTCTGCACAACACAACTGATGGTCCCAACCCCATTGATAAAGCAAGAAATTCCACTAATTAACCCTGATAAGGCACACCTGTGAAGTGGAAACCATTTCAGGTGACTACCTCTTGAAGCTCATGGAGAGAATGCCAAGAGTGTGCAAAGCAGTAATCAGAGCAAAGGGTGGCTATTTTGAAGAAACTAGAATATAAAACATGTTTTCAGTTATTTCACCTTTTTTTGTTAAGTACATAACTCCACATGTGTTCATTCATAGTTCTGATGCCTTCAGTGAGAATCTACAATGTAAATAGTCATGAAAATAAAGAAAACGCATTGAATGAGAAGGTGTGTCCAAACTTTTGGCCTGTACTGTACATGGATACAAACTTAACACTTTGGACTGGACTTTGATGAACATTGACATTAGACAGCAATAAGCTGTGAAGGGACACTTTACTTTTGTTTGTTATTTTTATATTGGGAAATTGAATCTGAATTGTGATTCCACTTTTTCTTGATTGTGAAAATAAATATTCCTGTGTTTACCTTTACCACTAACTTATCCCTCGCTCCTTGAGTTGAACCTGAGTGTACAATAGTCAATTTAATGTTGCTTTTACTGGGTTACAGAAAGAATTTTGGTGAGCTATAGCCAGTAGCGAGGGTTATATAGGTTAACTGTGCAATACAAACTGTCATTTTAACCACAGGATATTGCTAACTGATTTATCTGATGATCCTCCCTATTTGTTTTTTTTCCTTTTTTGTCCCTTTTAACCTGAAGTGAAGCAAAGGAAAAGACAATGGCAGACATTGATGACAAACTGTCCGTATGTGTGTTTGGCGTTACCAGTGGTGATGCAGACCTGGACATCATAGATTCCCTTGAGAAATATGGCCCAGTAGCTGGAATAAGGAGAGAGCAAAACACAGGAGCATCAAGTGGAGAAACAGTCATCATGGACTTTAAGTCAGGAGCTGCAAGAGCCAATATTGAGACACTTTTCCTTATGGAAGTAGCGAATGTGTCCAACCCTAGTGTAAAGTGGCAGGTAGACCGTGTTAAAACAACAACACCGTTCACTGATCAGACTGCAACAATCCTCTGTACATCCTCCACTGACTCCAGTGACAGCAATGACTCTGATGGTAGTGCTCACTCAGACCACAGCCCTAGTACGCAGAAGCAAGAAACAATATGAACACAGCAAGCCCCTTTCACCCCTCAAACTGCTACAACACCCAACCCAAGTAAACCACGTGCAGTTAAAAAGCAGTGAAGTAACAAATCCACCTGAGGTGCAACGTGTTGTGGTGGAACACGTGATCAAGAATCAGCCCACCCCCAAAGGGATGAGGACATTCTCTGGTAAAGTACCCAAGCTCCCCCGGTGAGGCAGATTGTGAGACATGGTCATTACATGCAGAATTGATGTTTAATCATGACAGTTTATCAGTTGATGTGCAACGGAGAAAAATACTAGAGTGCCTGCTTCCCCCAGCTTCAGCTGTGGTAAGGCAACTTGGTACCTCTGCACATCCCAGACAGTATGTGCAGCTGCTCGACTCTGTGTATGGACTTGTAGAAGATGGGGAGGAGGTATTTGCAAGATTCTTAAACACAAATCAGAATACAGGGCAGAAGGCATCTGATTATCTCCAGAGATTGCAGAGTCTTCTGTGCACAGCTGTGAAGAGAGGTGGTGCAAAATAGGTGAATGCAGACCGACACTTACGGAAACAGTTCAAGCGTGGTTGCTGGGACAGCCTGGTCTTACAGCTGGAGCTCAAAAATGAAATACCTCCCAACTTTGCAGAGCTGTTGCTGCAGGTACGTACAGAAGAGGACAGAAGAGCATCTAAACTTGATAGGATGCAGTGTCACTTTGGCTCCTCCAAGACCAAGCCTTCTTTAAAAGTTCACTCTGTTCCTGACATCTCTCCCTATGATTCCAATGCCAGCTTACTGCAGTCATACATCTCTGAAACTGAAAGTTTGAGAAAACAAGTGGCTCAGCTGCAGATGCAGCTCCACATCAAGAAATCAAGGAAAGAGGAAAAACAAGGATTTAAAGCTGTAGTACCAACAAATAACTCACCTCCACCAGTAGCTGAAGCACAGGCTCATCAAGTGATGTCGCAGAACACACCCCCTCCAAGCCTCAACCAAAGGCCTGTTAAGTGTGGAGAGGATGGCCACATCGCCAGGAACTGTGGAAATCCCGTAAATAAAGCCCTTGTAGAACAAAAATACACTGAACTCAAACACAAGCAGGATGAGTGGAAGGCAAGACAGCCTTTAAACTGGAACGGGTTCCAGTAATGGGACCTACTGGAACTGAGGACACAGAGAAGAGTCCCATGTCAAAGTGGAAATGTGAAGCCAAATGTCAACAAGACACAGCTACCACACGTCGGCTCACAAGAAGATTGGTTGGCTCGAGACATGAAGCCAAAGTCACACTTGGCAGAATTCAGCAAAACTGTCTGATGAACGGAGGCTCACAGGTCACAACCATCACCAAAACCTTTCATGAAGCCCACTTACCTTCTCACCCCATCATTCCCATAGAGGACCTCTTACACATAGAGGGACCTGCAGGCCAACTTGTCCCTTACCTTGGCTATATTGAGGTTGACATAGCTGTAGCATATGTTTACGCTGGATGTGTTGAATTTATTGTAAACTAGCAACACTATGTGTGTGGACTAGTGGAACCAGAAGATAGCAGATTTGGTTAAGGAGGAGAAATTATAATGATGGCAATATCAAAGGAAGACTCAGAGACTGAAATGTGCTTAATAGGTACCATGTATTGAAGTGAAAAAATGAATAAATAAATAAACAAATTAAACAAAAAGAGTGGCCATACAAAATTAGATTCAATAGAAAATTGTAATAAATCAAAATAAACCAAATGCCAATGTAAGTGACAATAAAGTTGTCACTTCAAAGCTAGCTTAACGTTATTTAAGATCTGGTGCACCGAGCAATAAGTTTGGATCCAAGCAAATAAATGCTGTGTTCTTTCCACTAATTCAACTGATAGTTAAACCAAAAGAAAAGAAAACATCACAATGCAATTTCAACATTAACAACCAAAATACCCCAACTCAAAACTGTTTGAAATAGTGGTTTCTCCATAGTCAAAAAGTCTGGCCAATTCACTCGTCAAGAGCCTTCATGCAACCAGAGTTCCTCAGCAGGGTGTCACACAGGGTAGCCATCTGCAACTGCTCTGCTCTCAGCATCCCCAGTCATCTGACTAAGCAGCGTACCCACTTCCTGTTAGTAGCACTGAGGCTACTCTGTTGCGACTCTGACTGGCTACTTAACTCATGTGACATTCATTCACACAGTTTCACATAGTTTCTCATAGTTTAGTTTTATTTACCCACTAGAGACCTGGGTTACATACCCTTCCCAGCAGCAGCGTAGCAACCTCAGCACGGGCCCCAGTGCAAGATATATTGACGGGCCCTACACGCATACTAGTTATTAGGCGTACAGGCACAATCACGCACATGCACGCGCCCACCCACCCACACTATGAGGTCTATATAGATTTTACCAACAGTGTGTTGGATTTTACAATCAAACAAATGACTTGGGTTATTGTATTAGAATTTTTTTAAGAGGTCAAGAATCTAGATTTAACACCCCAGTTCTGACTCGCATGTGCACAACAGTCTGCAGGTCAACGTACCTCATCATTGCATCAGACAGCAGGGGAGGAGCTGTCTAATTCATGGTGGTGCTGAAATGACTACAAAATCATTTTTCTTGCAAAGTCAAGAGTGCACCCCTACATGATAAACCTTAAGGCAAGAAGAGATGATAGTAAAATGAAGCCTATAGCATGACAAGACAGAAGAGAGATACTATTGTTTTTGTTTTTTTACACTTTATTTAAAGATCTTCCAACCAAACAGCAACGGTGTAACATGTGAAAAACACAGACGTCTCATGAAACTGGCACACAGCGGTGATCAAACAGGGAAGGGGCATGGCAACGCACCACAGTCAGATTATTAAGATACCCCAAGTTCCCTGAAAAATATTTGGCTCAGTGGAATGGCATCTTGCGAGCCTTGTGCTGGGCAAAATCCTCTATTACATCCCCAATGTCCAACTCCCTGGCTCTTGAGTTTTCAGTGGAGAGGTTAGCTAAGCCACTCAGCCGCTCCTGCCCCATGGAGCTCCTCAGGTATGTCTCGATCATTTTTAACTTGGAAAACGTTCTCTCAGCTGACGCCACTGTCACCGGCAATGTCAGGAACAAGAGGAGCGCAGTGCAGACAAGGTGCAAGGTGGATGTTGATGAGTGATTAAAATGTCAAATTTAGTCAGCTTTGCTCTCTTCTCTTTCTTTTCTGTCCTTTCTTTTATTACTGCCGGATTTATGTGTGTAGGAAGACATTTTTCCGCAAATATATTGCGCTTAACTATTTCAACAATTGGGAAACCATGACAGAGATAGGTTTGCTTCAGGGCTATAAGGTAATGAATCAGCTGTGTCACTTGCATGATGTGTCGTGCGCACATCATGTGTAAAAGTGTGATTCACTGTGATAATATAAATTAGTCCAGACAAATTCACGGGCCCCTGTATGTCCCGGGCCCCATTGCGATGGCACGTGTTGCACTGTCTATCCCTGTGCCGCTGCTTCCCAGAACATTTTACAGCAGAGCCTAAGGTGGTCACAACGCTGGCGCTAGTCGTCCCCGATCCTAGAACCAATGTTAAGGTTCCAGTTCTCATCGGTACTAACACCCTTGACATCCTGTATGCAGACTTCAATGAAGAAACAACAGTTTCACCAGACTGTGAATATGCCTCACTCATCAGACATCTACAGAGCATCTACCTCAGCAGGGCACAACAAGACGGCCAAGTGGGCAGAGTGAAATTACAGTCCAAGAACACAGTAGTCATTCTGGCTGGAAAGAAAGTGGCATTAAATGGCCGTGCAAGACATGTTCCTACTGTTGATGGTGCGCCTCTCCTGGTGGAACACCCCACCAAGTCCAGTCTACCAGGTGGCTTAATATTCTGTAGTTACATCATGGCAAGTCCACGGCAGACCTTTTTCAAAGTCCCCATCCTCCTCAAGAATGAGTCTACACAAGACATCACAGTTCCAGCCAGTCGAACTCTGGCAGAGCTCTCAATGCCACTATCCATCTCTCCATTGACCTCCACCAATGAGATTAAAGGGGAAGTATCAGACTCAAACCAGACCAACACTACTGCCCGGTGTTTTACAGCTGGTCGAGTGAATCCTGAAAACTTGATCGAGTTTTACTTTGCTGACTCCCCTTTGTCAGAGGAATGGAAAGCCAGGATTACCAAGAAGTTGAATTCAACTCCTGAAGTCTTCGCAAGGGGAGATCTTGACTATGGGCACACGACAGCCGTAAAGCACAAGATCCGCCTCTCTGACCCGACGCCTTTCAAACAGAGGGCAAGGCCCATCCATCCATCTGATTACGAGGTGGTTCGTCTCCATCTGAAAGAGTTGTATTATGCAAACATCATAAGGGAGTTGGAGAGTCCATTTGCTTCGCCAATTGTCGTAGTGAAGAAGAAAAATGGACAAATCCGCCTATGTGTGGATTACAGAAAACTGAACAGCCAGACAATTAAGGATGCTTATGCTCTGCCACACATTGAAGAGGCATTTGCATCCCTGACAGGAGCAAAGTGGTTTTCTGTCATGGATTTAAAGTCTGGCTATTGTCAAGTGGAAATTGAAGAAGAGGATAAATATAAAACTGCCTTTGTCACGCCAGTGGGTTTTTGGGAGTTCAATAGGATTCCACAAGGAGTAACCAATGCTCCAAGCACCTTCCACCGAGTTATGGAAAAATGTATGGGCTCGCTAAATCACAGAGAAGTGCTGGTATTCCTAGATGATCTCACTGTGTTCTCCAATACCCTGGAAGAACATGAGGAGGGTTCTGAACCAACTGAAATAGTTCAGTCTCAAATTGTCACCAGAGAAATGCCATTTTTTCAGGAAGACTGTGAGATACCTGGGGCACATAGTGTCAGAGGATGACGTATTAACAGACCCTGATAAGATCACATCATGGCCCCGCCCGAACAACATATCTGAGTTGAAGTCGTTCCTCGGCTTCACAGGATACTATCAGAGGTTTGTTAGGGACTACTCCAAGATTGCAAAGCCTCTAAATGACCTGACGGCTGGATACATCCCTGCAAAGAAAAAGAAACATGAGAACACATCAAAAGGTCAAAGGTCATTCTCCAATGCCCGAATGATGCATAGTGCGTCCAAATTCATACCCGTTCTTCTCTGTTGATTTTCTCTGCGACCTTGCGTCATAGCTAGAAGCCACGCATATCACGTGAAACAGCGGAACTGTAGCTTTCCGAGAAGGCCAAGCACTTGTCGGTAGTCCAATATTTTCACAGCGAAAAAAAAATGATAAAGTTACATTAAAATGATGTATAACAGAGCTTTCATACAGCTTTGCACACACATTACTGTTGGATGGATTACTCACAAATGCAGGCTCGCACAGACATGCCATACATATCACATGAAAGCGCAGGAAAGCAGAGCTTTCCAGGGATACCACACACATCATTGTACTGTCATCCCATCACGCTATAAATACAGATTGATTGTCTACAAAATAAAAACCTGACGAATTTCTTTACAACCCATTATACAGATCTTGTTATCAGTCACTTCATATAGTGAGGAATATCATATCTTACCACGTCTTAGGCTTGCGTGTGTTTCTCCCTGTCTATCCACATTTGTAGTCCGGCTTTCAAGATGCAAAATATCTCCATATTGTCCAGTTGACACTCCATCAAACTTTGTATGACAAGACCAGCGTACTTCACCTTTGCGCACCCAGACAACTGCAGCCTAATTATGCATGCTGACAGGGCCGTAGTCACCATATACATTGAGGGGGACACGTGCCCCCCCACCAATGCCCAAAATGTTCCCCCAGTATATAACTGAAACTGAAAAACAACAACAAACTTTGTTTACTGCAAACAAAGTGGCAAATATTATCTTGGAGGACATCATTGCACTTGGTTGACTATTTTTATATGATCTTAGATGTAAATATTGCATGTTTCTTTCAGATAAAACACATTTTGACTTGTGAATGAGTCAGTGGAATTTCTTGCAATAATGAAAAAATACTGGCAATCATGTCCGCCTGGCACAAACCACATGTTTTGGACAGCTGTGAAGTGACAGAATGTCCCACCATCATGGTTCTTATATTGCCAGATTCCAGAGAGTCTCCCCTCTTCATATATGGCAGAATATGTCTTCTTCCAACTTGCTATGGTGAGATACATGTAAAAATGTAAGAATTTAGTCACACGGATTTGTTTTTTTCATTGATATAAAAATTAATATAAAATACAGGCACATAGAAGGACATGGAATGATGGCAAATCTGGTTAGCTCAGATTGTCCTGAAAAAAACAAGATATAGCATGTGTATGTAGCCTTTATAATGACTGTGATATGAGCTTAAAAGTAAAGGCAGTAAAAATACCCCAAAAACGCCTAGGGCCTAAAGAGTTAAAAAAAACCCTTTGATGAGAAATGGATACCCTCATGTGAGGAGGCATTTAAAACCCTCATTGAGCAATTGACAACAGCACCTGTACTGGGATTTGCAGACCCAAGAAGCCATACATACTCCACACAGATGCTAGTTTACATGGACTTGGAGCCCCTCTGTACCAGGAGCAAGATGGTCACATGAATGTTATGGCGTGGAGTTCAGTGTGCTGACTGACAATAATCCCCTGACTTACATTTTGACCTCTGCAAAACTGGATGCCTGTGGTCATCGTTGGCTTGCTGACCTTTCCAATTTCAATTTCAGCATCAGATACAGGGCTGGCAAAAAGAACCAGGACGCAGATGGGCTATCAAGATGTCCACATGCCCCTGCAGAAATTGATAAGGATGATGAGGATGAGGATGAATGATTACGGCAGTTTATATCAAAGTTTGTGGAGGGAAGTGAGGACACTTTCCCAAAGGAGGCTATCAAAGCTGTCTGTGAGAGACACCAGCTAGACAAACTCAGTGAAACAGAGGAAGAAAGGGTCACTTACCTGTCATTGTAGAGTGTCTAGCAATGGATGGGCGAGCCATCTGCCCTGAATATGCTCAAGCCGACCTGCTTCCTGGATCCACCACACTTCCCAGAATGTCTCTGCAGGATTTGGCTGTGGAGCAGAGAAATGATCCAACAATCAACAGAGCAATAGACATTGTCAGAGCAGGGATACGCCTCACTTACCGCCTCTGGCAGAAAGAGGAAAGGGAGGTACAGTTACTGCTCAGAGTTCAAGACCAGCTGATATTGAGCGATGAAGTTCTGTATAGAAATTGCAAGAGTGAGAATCAGCCTACCTTACAGCTCATTCTCCCGAAGAAATACAGACAAATGGTGCTGGTGAATCTCCACGATGATGTCGGTCATTTGGGGTATGAGAGGACAGTGGATCTGGTACGTGCACGGTTCTATTGGCCGAGGATGAGTATAGAGGTTGGGGAGAATATCAAAAGATGTGAAAAGTGCCTTCGACGCAAGGCAAGGGCAGAGAAAACCGCCCCCCTTGTCAACATCAAGACCAGCCGCCCACTTGAGTTAGTGTTCATGGACTATCTCTCCTTGGACGGCCGTGGCACAAAGAACATACTTGTAATAACTGACCACTTCACAAAGTATGCTGTTGCAGTCCCCACCCCCGATCAAAAGGAGAAGACAGTGGCCAAAGCACTATAGAACAACTTCTTTGTACACTATGGCATACCAGAACGCTTACATAGCAATCAAGGCCGCAACTTTGAATCCGCCATCATCAAAAATCTCTGTGACCTCTTGGGGATAAAGAAATCAAGGATGACACCTTACCACCCACGTGGTAATCCAGTAGAGCATTTCAACCGGACCTTGCTGGCAATGCTTGGAACCCTCGAAGAAGTGGATAAAGTGAAGTGGCGTGACTATGTGCAGCCATTAGTCCACACCTATAATTGCACAAAGAACGACACTACCGGATTTTCCCCTTACCATCTAATGTATGGAAGACAGCCAAACCTGCCTGTTGATGTGGCATTTGGACTACATCCTGAAGGACAGAGGAAAGTCACTCACTCACTCACTCACTCACTGTGAGTATGTGAAAAAACTCAGAGAAACACTGGAGGAGAGTTACAGACTGGCTGTTGAGCACAGTGATAAGACAGCTCTACGCAACAAACAGAGGTACGACTTGAAGGTCAGAGAATCCCCTCTACAAGTTGGAGTCCATGTCCTTGTGAAAAATGTGGGGATACGAGGAAAACACAAGATTGAAGATAAGTGGAGTCAAATGGTCTACAAGGGGGTGAGATACATTGATGATTCCCCAGTGTATGTAATGGCTCCCCTCACATCTGAAGGCCCTGAGAGAACACTACATCGAGATCTGCTCCTACCTTGTGCGTTCCTTGCACCTTCAGAGCCAGTTGAAGCCGACAAAGTCAGTCTGGGTGGCCGGAAGGAGACAATTGCCAAATCCTTCCAGAGGAATCATGTACCTGAAGTTGAGGAGGCAGGAAATCCACATGATAGTGACAAAGAGGAGGAGTTAGACTATCCATCAGTAAGTCACGGTGAGGCTACCTACCCATCATTCACTGTTGTACATGACATTCCCAGAACTAAGACCAAGCCTCCCTTGCAACTGGATGTGAGTTCAGTAGGGTCAGATCTCAACCCAACTGCTGAAGAATTCCATCCCCAACAAGTTGAGAGAGAGGAACACTCAAACACATCTCAGGTACCAAGCATGGAAGCAGAGGAGGATAAAAACTTACCTGCCGACCCCTTACCTGGAAATGAGACAAACGTACCTGCCGACCCCTTACCTGGAAATGAGACAAACTTACCTGTGGAGGAAATAGAACAATCTGCTGTTTATGAAGGTCTAACAGTACCCAATGAACCAGTCAATGGAGAACCTGAAAGAGAAATTGACAATACAGAACTGAGAAACCAGAATCAGAGAGCAATGAGAGAGGAGAACAAAAGAGACAATGTTGGAGAGGAGATTGGACTGACTGATACCAGTTCTTTTCAGGATGAAAGAGAACGAGAGGCCAGATGGCCAACCAGAACTCAAAGAGCGCCTGACAGATTGGCATACAAGTCTCTTGGAAACCCTTTAACTCTGGTCATGCACTCTATATTACACAGCCTTGACCAAGTTTTCACAGAAGCCCTTGATTTGCCCAATGTACCAAGCCCTTCACCTTCCCTTTACACAAGCCCAGTTATTGATATTTAAGTGTGAGTTGACATGCAGAGATGCATGCCAGTTAAGGGCGGGTGGATGTAACCCCTATGAAAGTACAGCTTTGGGTTTACTGACTATTATTTGTTTGTTTGGTTTCATACTACATAGTTTTCATTTTAATGTCTAATTTTATGAAGAGAACTGTGTTTCAAGATGACTGCAGTTGCTTAAAATAGCCGCTAGAGGGCGCTTTGTTCAATGCTATTTTCAAAGTCAAATAGCATGAGTTAAGCCTACCAATAATGAAAATGATGGAATTAAGCAGTCTATTTTTAATGGCATTGGACAGCAGTCAGTTTCAAATGCGGATGCATGGTGGCGACATATCCACAAAAAACACAATAAGCTGTGAAACTAACCTGTTATCTGATTCAAAAAATAAAGTTCTTAGCCATTGAGGGACTCTGTGAAATCTTTAGCCTCTTGTGGAGTGTTGAAGAAGTGGATTGCTCCTCTGCGTGTTGCTTTCAGCCCAGCAGGATAGAGGAGAAAGGTTCCAAAGGCTGCAAGGCATCCATGGACTCTGAAAAGGCTAGGCTGCATCTGAAAGTTTGTGTGCTGTAGTCTGGAGTAAAGCGAGCAGTTACCCTGTCCACCTCCACTGTAGTTTTCTGTGATGCGCGCAGGATCCTGTCTTTGTCGATGAAACATAACAGCTTCACAAGAAGAGTGCGAGGAATGTTGTACCACAGTAGCCAGAACTATAACTATAATATTATTACTTTCATTAATGTTGTTGTAAGCTACTGTCATTACCTGCATCTCTCTCTCGCTCTCTCTCTCTCTCTCTCTCTCTCTCTGTCTCATTGTGTCATATGGATTACTGTTAATTTATTATGCTGATCTGTTCTGTACGACATCTATTGCACGTCTGTCCGTCCTGGAAGAGGGATCCCTCCTCAGTTGCTCTTCCTGAGGTTTTTCCCCGTTAAAGGGGTTTTTTTTGGGGGAGTTTTTCCTTATCCGCTGTGAGGGTCTTAAGGACAGAGGGATGTCGTATGCTGTAAAGCCCTGTGAGGCAAATTGTGATTTGTGATATTGGGCTTTATAAATAAAATTGAATTGAAAATTGAATTGAATTGAATGGGTTTGCCATTCACATCCTCCTTGGCTGTGCCTACTCGGTGTGCATGTGTAGCCCCTATGAAAGTACAGCTTTGGGTTTACTGACTATTATTTGTTTGTTTGGTTTCATACTAAATAGTTTTTATTTTAATGTCCAATTTTATGAAGAGAACTGTGTTTCAAGATGACTGCAGTTGCTTAAAATAGCCGCTAGAGGGTGCTTTATGTACGTGCTATGTAGTAAATCCAGTTGACGTGAGCATTGCATGCTGGGAGCAAGACACTCCAGCCTAGCCTTGATGCTAACGGGACCACGATATAGCTACGAGTGAAGTCAGTGACATTTTATGGAAGAAACACTGCTTTATTTTCATGTTTATGAGTCTGTACATGTTCGAAGTTGCTGTGAGAGAGTTCCAGACGGCTGCAACCGGAGGATTTGCTTTCTTTTGTTTATACGAGCAAGGACTCTGGTGAATGTAATAGTTAGCATGCTATGTTGCTAACGGACATGCTAACGGACATGTAATGTTTAATTTCGGTTATGATTTAGCTGTATTGAACCTTTCTTACCATCAAAAACCAATCGGAGTCAATTGTAAATGTTACAGAGATGTTGTAATGAGTGAATATGCTCAGTTTTTGTTTTAGAAATGCATTTATTTTCACATGAGGAACGGTCATTTTTACTGCATCATTCTGGGCTCCATGTTCAATGTTGGAAAGTTAAAAATGTGCTATATGTGGGCTAATATTCATGATTTGTACATGTATGGGTTTTTTTCTGATTTTCATTATATAAATAAGGTGTTAAAGTTCATGTTGAGATGATTAAAAATGTACAAGTTTGAATGTGAATGAGAAAAACATGATTGATTAGAGATAAGGGATCATTTGTGTAACATGATTGATTAATATTGTTAAAAAATAACACAATGATGTCTGAGATTTTAATGTCTCAAGATATATTTCATCATTGCCTTTGTGGTCAGTATTATAAGTTACACTTGAGTTAAAAAGAAAAAGAGAGATACTGTACAGTAATTGATTGATAATTAATTTTATTTCCTGCTATGGCAGATAGGTTTTTTTTTTTGAGTTGCTGGATTTGCATTTTGGTGGGACAGCGTAGATTCCAACCAGGGTTCCTGTCTGAGGCGAGGCAGGGTAGAGAGGATCTGAAATTCTCCATCTTCATCGTCTTCCTGAAGATTCACGCCTGGAGCAGATAAGATCTAAGCTGCGCACAATACATACACATTCTACCCGGGTAGCACACATACACTGAATAAACTTGGACGTACATGGATACAAACTGAACACTTTGGACTGGACTTTGATGAACATTGATATTAGACAGCAATAAGCTGTAAAGGGACACTTTTGTTTGTTATTTTTATATTGGGAAATTGAATCTGAATTGTGATTCCACTTTTTGTTGATTGTGAAAATAAATATTCCTGTGTTTACCTTTACCACTAACTTATCCCTCGCTCCTTGAGTTGAACTTGAGAGTACAGTAGTCAATTTAGTGTTGTTCTTACTGGGTTACACATGCATGGCTTCGACTGACCCCAGTTCGGGAAACCGTAAATCAGCATTGTATTAGTTTGGTGCTGTATATAAATCAGCTGAGGAAACCTGCCCTCACCTTATTTAATACATCGCAAAACTAGCATTACTGCCTTGCAGTTGTGTGCCTCCACTAACCAGTCAAGTTGTATTTACAGTGCATCCATGTCTGTGAAAACATGGATGCTACACACACATCTTGCCCCCGGCAGCACAGATCTGTACAATCAGCACAGTTTCAAAACAGACACCCAGGATTAGCATCATCAAATCAATATCTGACCAAATGTGTCCCCTTCTGTTCCTGAGATACGATGTTAGTAATGGCCAGAAAAGTGCTACACAACATTATGATGTCACAGTGAAGCTGATCTTTGACCTTTTGGATAGACAATCAATCAATCAATTTTTCAATCAGTTTTATTTATAAAGCCCAATAACACAGATAATAATTTGCCTCAGAGGGCTTTACAGCATACGACATCTCTCTATCCTTAGGACCCTCACAACAGACAAGGAAAAACTCCCCCAAAAAATCCCTTTAACTTTGCTGCAACAGTGAACTGATCAGATTTTGGTGGTCAAACTGTGACTTTGCATCTGTCTTATTTTTCATAAATGTAAAACTTCAAGAAGGCCTTGCAACAGTGTCCTCAAAGTTGGCAAAAACGTCCACTTTGATTTAAGAATTAACTCATTAGAATTTTGTGGTCTAAGGTCAAGATCACTGTGACCTTACAAAGCATGTTTTTAGCTGTAACTCAAGAATTTATACTGTACTTAAGCCAAATTTTCCCACATGTCGAATAGGATATAATGATGAGGTGATGACATTTTCTATCCAAAAGGTCAAAGGTCAACTTCACTGTGACACCATAATGTTCTGCAAAAACATACTCAATGTTTGAGTCAAGCATTTTAACAGGCTACTCTGTAATTAAAACAATTTGAGTCTGTGAACAAGCTGATTGGTCTGATAACATTTTAATGAAATGGAATCAGATCAAACAGGGTGTGTGTTTCCATGACTTCCCATGCAAACTGAGGCACCTGGAAACTTTCCAACCTGACCACTGCCAAAGAGCTACAGCTCTTTGCTGCAACTTTTTGTCACCGCCACCTGCTGCCACCTGATCTCTCCCACTTCCCAGGTGAGGCCTCTCAAACAAAGCTCTATTTAGTAAAAAAATGTTTTTCTTTATTTTTGTTTCGCCCAGAATTTCACAGTGGGTGTCTCGTCACAGACTCTGACCTTTGCCATCACCGTATGTTGGTTGGTGGTAATGTCAGAGATACTGCATGTGCCACACTGGTTTTCTTTTGTTTGTTTATTTGTTTGTTATGCTTTTTTTGCTTTGAATATTTTAATGTGTGTGTCTGTGTGGTTTGTATATAGCAGATGACCCAGAGCCTACTGGACACAAAGACAGACGCCTTTGTGGCATTACCTCCGGGTGAAATCAGACCTCCGTGCAAACTGATTGACAGAACACACCATGTCACTGAGAAAGTCACCCAGGTTAGTTGACATGACTTGGCACACTCATTTCTGTTCTGTTCCTGAACACATCCACGAACATTTGCCTCAGCTGTCTGTTTTGGGATATATCAATAGATGTCCCACTACACAGCCACATGCATCAGCTTCTTTGGGGAAGCCCACCACATTCTGACATTTGTATTTCCTCAAGCTGGAGGTCTCTTCTGAGTTGGTCATGCCTGGAAAACCTCAAAGAGAGGGAACCAAGAGTCAGTAAGACGAAAACTCTGTCTGTGTGTGGGTGTGTCTGTGTGTCACGTTTTTCTCCTCACTGACTTGGTCAATCCATGTGAAATTTGGCACAGAGGTAGAGGGTCATAAGAGGATGTGGATGAAGCAATATTACATCAACTGGCCAAAGGGGGGGCACTATAGCAACCGACTGAAATTGCAGACTTTGAACGGTCATATCTCATGCCCCGTATGTCGTAGAGACATGAAACTTCGCACAGAGATGCCTCTCCTCATGAGGAACAAATTTGCCTCAAGAACCCATAACTTCCGGTTATATAGATTTTCCACCATTTAGAAATTTTGGAAATACTTAAAATCGATCTCTTCCTAGGAAGTTTGACGGATCTGCATGAAACTCTGTGAACATAATCTACGGACCAATATCTAAAGTTCCCTCATGGCAAAAGTTGGAAAACTTATTAAAACTGAGCTTCTATAAGGCAATGAATATTGCGGAGGACGTGGCTCATCACATAAAGGTGTCAAACATCTCAAGGGTTTCACCGATCACCACGCAACTTTGTAGGCATATGACCACACATAATCTGAGGGGACCCCTCTATTATTGACCCAATCAAACAAAATGGGGGCGCTAGAGAGCTAATTTCTTATCTAGGCCTAACCGCCGTATCGATTTTTTGCCAAACTTGGTAGAAATGTAGAACAGGATGCCTCAAGGTGACTTGATAAATTTAACTCTAATTGGCAACTGGGTGGTGCTATAACAACAGAAAAATTCTTAAAAATGGCTAAAATGTGACCGATTGCTGTGGCTCCCCATGTGGCTGAATGTTTGTTTTCTTTTTCTAATTTTTGGAATGACTAAGTCATGGTATGGTATGCTGTACATAATCAGGGAAACTGTCATTGCATTGAGGATTGGCATAGGTAGAACGTGACAAAGCTACCAATGGGTATGGACCATAGGCGTTTCTAGACGATTTTTGGGGGTGCTGAAGCACCCCTAAATTGAATCCCAGCACCCCTAAATTTTTTTTTTTTTTTTTACTGTATGTCCCTTTTTAACAAGCTAGAAAAGTGTCAAAACCATACAGTCCTTGGTTGCAACGTAATATTTTAACAACAAAAATACAGCAGCAACCGTATGTATTTGTATTATATAATACAGACAAGAAGGAAAAAGGCAGAGACAAACATTGAAAAAGTCAATTACTGTCAATGTGTTAATGTTACATGTTGTGCATTGTATTTCAAATAAAAGTCCAAAAAATAAGTCCAAGGTCCATTTTTGGTATTTTTGGTACTTACTATAGGGGGCTGGTTTACTCCATTAGGGTTACAATATGTTTCTTTTATGATTCCAAACCATTCCTCTTTTGCTGTGGCTCAGCATTTAAATAACCTTTATCAGATTTGATGGTTTAGTCACAGACTTTCCCAAAAAGTGTTGTGCCTTTCTTTCACAAATGTGGGAATGAAATTGAGTTAAAATGTGGGTGCTCTGGGTGCTCAGCACCCCTAAACCTCTGATCCTAGAATCGCCCCTCGGACTATATATACTACTATACTATATATCTACTTGCATCTCCCTCTCTCTCTCTCTCTCCCCCATCTTCTCCACACACACATGCACACACCTCACCTCCTGATGTTTTCCTGTTTGGTCAGATACACAGGATACAGTCCATGGCAGTAACAGTCATGTTTACAACAACATTCACTATAGAAACTCAATAATATCTCACTGGAAACAAATCTAACATGTAAATAAAATAAATATTCCTCCTGACATCACAATACTGAGTGTAACGTTATCTAAGCATGGTGAACACGGACATCAGTATCAATCATTCATCCCTGCTCCACTGAGGTGAGTCACTGTCTGCAGGTTGGTTGCCTCAGGTGCATTTTCAGATTGAGTTTTAGACTACATACAGACAGCTTTCATTTTAGTTAGCCCCTTTGAGTGCTATGTGCTTGTGTAAACCACGATTGTAAACCATAATAGCGTGAATGAGAAACTGTGGACAGAGCAAATTGAAATATGGCTTTCTACATGCTGAACACATGTATTGATAAAGTATTGACTTTTTACTAGCAGAGGTTTTATTGCACTTACTTACAGTAACAAGTGTAGTTGTCGTCAAATACTTTTAATTTATTCTTCTCACGGTTTCATAGACATGATTTCAATCAAGATGTCTCCAGGCTGAGGGACTCCCTGCTACCCCACAATGAGATATTGACATCTCAGGAGCAGGTCAATGTTTTATTTAAGAAAACTAAGAAAAAGAAAGCTTCTGGCCCTGATGCCATTTGTGGTCACACTCTGTACCACTGTGCTGACCAACTTAATGTGATTTTCACCAAGCTTTTTCAAATGTGTGTTGACAGCTGTCGGCTGCCCACTATGTGGAAATCTTCTACGATAATTCCTCTTCCCAAGACTAAAAACCCTAGGGAACTGAATGACTTTAGACCTGTAGCACTCACGTCTATTGTAATGAAAAATCTTGAGAAAATTTTAAAAGATGAGGTGCTCTCCCGGGTGGAGGGCAAACTGGACCCACTTCAGTTTGCCTACCAAACAAGTAAGGGAGTAGAAGATGCCAAACTTTTTATTATGGACAAAGCTTTGAAAGCTTGGAAAAACCCAAAGTTTATGTCAAATGTTTATTCGCTGATTTCTCCTCAGCTTTTGCTGCAACCTCACATCCTTATTGAGAGGCTTGCTTCTTATTTTAATCTACCTCACCAGTTCTTGTCATTGATCTTAAACTTTTTAACAGACCACAACAGGTTCTAGTTAATGGTACCAGGTTTAACACATTGGTTTCAAACACAGGTTCTCCACAAGGTTGCGTCCTCTCACCATGGCTTTTTATTTTGTACACTGGCAGTTGCAGGTCTTGTAAAGAGGGCAGCTTTTTAGTGAAATTCTCAGATGAGACTGCACTCCTGTCACTCCTCCAGGGGGCAGAGTCAGATAATGGCTCGATTTCCTGCTTTTGTTAAACAGTGTGATAATCGTTTCCTTGATCTACATGTTTCAAAAACCAAGGAACTTGTAATTGATTTTAGAAAAAATAAGCCCATTCCCATTCATGGTGAAGTTGTTGAGATAATAATACAATTATTTGGGCACTGTGTTTGACTCCTGTCTCAGATTTGATGTAAACACTGAGTCAATTATTAACAGGGGTCAACAAAGAACCCACTTGATGCGGAAACTGAACTCCTTTCAAGTGTCAAAACCCATTTTGTGTACTGTGTACCTGTCGTATATTGAAAGCCTGTTAACTTTCTCCTTTGTGTGCTGGTTTAACGGTTTGTCAGTGAAAGACAAAAACTGTCTTAGCGGCATTGTCAAAGTATGTTCTAAAATTAGAAAAAATATTATTGTAAGAGTGCAGCTGACTGATTCAAACTCTATGTGGGAGAGACGGGTCCTCCAGAATGCAAAAAGTATCATCAACAGCAATGATGCTCTGTCCAAAGAATTCACACTTATGACATCAGTGTGGCGTTATCTGCCCCCACCCAGGAAGACAAACCGTTACTCCAGGTCGTTCATTCCCTCTGCCATTAAGCTGCTGAATGCAGAGTAGGTTTTTCTTTCTTTTTTTTGTGTTTATTTATATGTCTGATGTGCAATATACTTTGGCACTTTACCCTATTTAAGAGCAATATATTGGTGCACTATACTCATGCACTTACTGCACTTCTCTAGCTGTTTTTATTCCTTTATAATTCTGGTTTGTATTTCTTGTTTTACTTGTTGCATAACTCCAACTCCCCATCAGTCACTTATTGCGCTTCTCTGTTACTGATGTGTGGGAAGTATGTTTGCTCATGTGAAGTGGGTGATTGTAGAAACTGAATTGCCCTTCTGGGATAAATAAAGCTTTCGCTGACTCTGACGCTGACTCAACTAGAGTAATTTTGAAGTTTTACTCCCTTCAACTGCACCGCAGCCTCTCTGCTGTTGTCTGACTTCACTCTGTTGTGTTTGTGTGTCTGTGTGTGTGTCTGAGTGTCTGTGTGCTGTGAGAAGAAGGTCAGCCCTAACATGCATTGTTTTCAAAATGTTTGACTGTGACAGCTACTACTACTACTACTACTGTGTGTGCAACAGCCACAGCGTGTGCCCATACGTACTGCCCACGTGGATACTCAGCTGTCCAAAAAAAAGCATGAGCTTGCTGCTGATTGGTTACAAGATTCGAGACAGTCTGCGACACATTGCCCTCGATTGAACAGGTTGAATCCCTTGCAACTGCATAAGCTGACCTTAGCCAATATGCAACTGACCACTGCAGCTTTTCTCTGCAATGCCCTAAAACCGTTTCATTGCATCTGGAATCTTTGGTCTGAACTGGCCTTAAGAGTAGCTCATGTTCAAGATCCATGTATGGTTTTGGCATTGAAATAGGGCTTTTGGCATGAATCTGGCCATATTTATGTTATTTTTGGTCTGCGTTTAAATGCTTATACTATTAAAATCAAGTAAAGTATCAGGTGGGCAAAGATTATTAAGTGATAATTCAACAGGAAGTTCTGTTGGCAAACTTAAACTCTTTGTCAGTTACCTACAGTTCAGCAGTGTTGCTGCCCCACAGCACATATGTGAATACTGTAGCACTCATCAGTCAAACACAGAGGTAAAAAACCTGAATGCTTGGGTGGAGAAAAATAGCAAACATTGTGGGGCTACAGAGTAGCCTCATACAGCTGTAAATAATGACTGAAGAGCAGATAAACACACTAACCAATCTTTTTGTCTCTTTCATGGAGGTGCTGTCTCTGGGTGCTGATGTGTTACCCGAGTATAAACTACAGACTCCCAGGATCCAGAAGTGGACCATCCTTCACTACAGTCCATTCAAAGCTGTTTGGGACTGGGTCATTTTGCTCTTAGTTATTTATACAGCCATATTCACTCCTTATTCTGCTGCATTTCTACTGAGGTTTGTGGAAATTTCACAACACTGCTCACCTGACCTGCATGAGTTAATTACAAAGATAGGTTAAGTCATTGTGCAAAGTGCAGGAAAGCAACACACAAATATTCCCAGTACATTGTTTAGCTGTGGACAGGGTTCATGTCATATAGTAACAGCGTGCTGCTACTGAAGGAAATGTTCAGGACAGCACTTTCAGTTTAGTGTCAAACTTGAGTGTGATCTGTGTGTAATTCCAAGTCTCTTAAATTGCATCCATATTTCCTTCACTTGCATCTTTTCCTTATGTATTGGTCCTTCCCACCACGGATACATGGAGAGACACAAGGAAACTGTGAGGAGACAGGAAACGAGGAAATACGTTTTTAGAGGACATAGGCACCCTAACCTCAAAAGCGTCCGTTTCTGATGACAGAGCCTGTACATGTGCATTGTGCTAATACTAATAAAGGCACGCAGTTGTCAGTGGCAGAACAGCAGTGTTTTCTCTTGGTTTAACAGCTGCACATAAACAACAACAACCTGTCTTCTGTGTAGTCTATTGTGTACTGCTCAGAGGCAGAGAATACGTTTATATAGTTAATTCATTTCTTGCATCTGTATCACTTCTATTCTGATTGTGAATTCATTATTTAATTATCAAGAATATGATTATTGTGTCTTTTGAACACTTGGTGAGATGTTTCAGGGAAATTATATATATATTAATTCAATTAACTAAACCTCTTTGAATCTTAGTTGAATAGCCCTGATATGGATGGTGAATCAGAAAACAAATAAAAAATTTGGAGTGATACAGAGTTTAATTTCTTATCTGTCTTCACTCCTTTATAAAACTATAGAAGTCCAATCAGTAACTGAAGTCCAATAACGGGGCGTGTCATTCAGTAAAATACTTCCTTAAAGGCTGCTCTTGTGTATCTTTGCTTATTGCTCCTCTCTCCTCAGAGGACAAAAAAGAGCTTCAGGACAATCTTTAAGATGGAGCACGAGAATGATTTCCAGTTTAAGTAAGGAATTATCAAATAAGAGATTTGACATGCACCTACAGTATCCTGTCAGCTACTGCTACCTGGATTTATACAGAGAATTCCAGACCTTTCCTCTAGTACCATCCTCGGGTCAAAATGTGAACTTAGAAAATCTAATTTACTCTGCAGATTGAAGGTGTTATTAGCCCAGATTCTTTCCTCTCTCTTCCTCTTCCTCTAAGGTTAGAGAATCTACTGCAAAAGTGTTTTAATATAGAAGAAGAAAGTATACATATGCTGATACTGGGGGCACGTCTGAAATTGTGTCTTAAGTTCTGTGTTATCCTGGGTATCGCTGTTTTGATTTCAATGTTGTGGTCTAATGACCTGGGGGGTATTCCATCAAGCAGGCTAAAGGCAAATCCAGGCTTAAATGGCCAAGTCTGGCTAATGTGACCCAGAGTTCTGCTCCATCAAAGTGGCTAAGATTAGCCTCACATCAGCAACCATGGAAACCATGGTTCTGGCTAAGCCTGATACATCGAGCTAAACTCCGATTTCCGTTCCATCAGCCTGAGCCACAACTCCATTCAATCAAGGTGGTTAACCTGAATCCCAGCCTAGTAAACATGTTAACTTGTGCTGCTGGCCAATCCTGGTCCGTAGCAGGATTAAGGTGAGGATTAGCTCCATCTTTGATCAAAAAATGTTCAATGGACAAGAACAGACACCTAAAAGACAGTTCCGCCTGTGCTTTTACACACTCACAGCTGTCATGTAATGATAAAATAATATGTAGATCATAAAATATATAAAATAATTAATCAAAAAACATTAACTATTAAAAAACAAATTAAAATGTAATAAAAATAAGATAATTAAAAAACACTTACAACAATAAAGCCAAAATCAAACTAATAAAAACAAAACTAGAATAAAATGAAACTGAGGCATTAAAAAAGATTGTACATGAATATGTGATTGCCCTCCTATCCTCACCCCACTCTGTTTCTAATTGGCTAGAAAATTCACAGCCAATTAAGGTCAACTGACAATGGCCATAGAAGGAGTGCATCCAAGAGAAGGAGAAGGACACACCCAGAGAGACACAGAGACAGAGCAAGAAAGAGTAAATTAGGAAAAAATGGCATGTGCCTTCATTGAGGATCCTGTTGATGAGGAGGCCCACATTGTGAAGAGGGCCTTCCAACCACCACCAGCCCCAAGGGTCTTCCAGTACAGGACCAACCCATTGATATAGACGGACTCCTATCTGTGGGAGAGGTACCGGTTCAGTAGGCAAAACATAGTGTATCTATGCAGTTTACTGGAGCCACACATTATAAAGGTCACATGTCACCGCCAGTCTCTGACCACTGTGCAGTCAGTCTCTATTGCACTGAGGTTCTTTGCTAGCGGTACATTCCTGTATAGTGTTGGTGATGCTGAAAGGCTAAGTAAGGCAACTGTTTGCAGAGAGGTAAAAATGGTGTATTTTCTATTCATTTTGATTATTTGTAGTATCATCATACATCATGCGTTGGGCTTGAGATGATCACATTAACATATGGTTATCTTTTATATTTATGAATTAACCATGATACAAAGCAACCACATTAAAATGGGACACACACCATTGTGGTTTTTCTGTTCCTCATCCTATAGCACATTCCATACATTTAAGGGGATTTTCCTTATTTTGATATAATAAGGGAAAGAGCTTACAACTGACTCCAAAATGATGAGGAATAGATAATTGATTCACCATCACCTGCATTCACTTAAACGGTTTCCTCATCTCCACTGAATGGATGGATTTGCTAAATGTCATTTTCTACAGTCAATAGATAAATGTCATGTGATTATTTCCTATAAACTGATCATTTCGGAAATGTCATAATCTACAATCAATTATGTGATAAATGCGTTGATTCACATAAAATAGTTTGATTAAATGCATCATCTGAACTTTACATAGGAATCTGTAGATAAATGTGATAAATAGTCTATCACTAATATTAATTTACACATTTGGTGAATTTCATTAGGTATACTTGAATTGTTAGATTTAATAGATGTTCTTATCTACATATATTTTGTCCCTTTGATGCAGGATTTATATAACATGATATTATGCTGAAATGCTGAATTTTCTTTGTCAGTTACGCAACCTGGGTGTCATTTTTGACTCTGAGCTTAGTTTTATTCCACACATAAAAATGTAACAAAGATAGGTTTTTATCATCTTAAGAATATAGCCAGAGTCTGCCCTTTTCTCTCTCAGGCTAACACGGAGGTGCTGATGCATGCTTTTATCTCTTGTTGTTTAGATTATTGTAATGCCCTGCTCTCTGGTCTTCCCAAAAAGACCATCTCTAATCTGCAGCTACTCCAAAACTCAGCCACACGAGTGCTGACGAAGACCAGAGGGCGGGTGCACATTACCCCGGTTTTAAGATCACTGCATTGGCTCCCCGTGTGTTTCAGGGCGGGGTTTCAATATGTATGTACTATTTTTGTTGTATGTTTTTATTTTGTGAAGCACTTTGTGTTGCATTTTTAATGTATGAAAAGTGCTATATAAATAAAGTTTGATTTGATTTGATTTGGTCTGTCGGCAATATTCTGCCACACCACCTCCCTTGCTTCATTAATTGCTGCAGTATTGCCTTTATTCGTAATTATGTCCTTATAGTCCTCATACACTTCCATAAGGAGTGTTTGCGCCGCCGCAGAAAAAGCTTCTACTCGCTCCTTTCCTTTGCTATTTGACATTTTGCAACATTTTCGGCACTCGACTAGTGTGGGCTTTTTTTTTCCCTGGGCACGGGCATGAGTTGAGGCTTAACAGGTGAGGCTTGAATTAGCATCACTTGGAGCCAGCTGATTTCACTTGATGGAACGGGCTGGCGCTAGATTGGGAGTTGGCGTTAAGTCAAGCTTCAAGATTACACCTAAGTCTGGATATTCTTAGCTACGTTGATGGACTACCCCCCTGTTCTGTGGCTGTCATGTTTTTTCAGTGGATGTTTAATTCTCTTGTAGAGAAACCCATTTCTAAATGTACTGATGTATTTCCTTTTAGTGACCAAGAGGAAGCAGCCATGCAGACCTGTGGTTACTCCTGTTCCCCCCTCGATGTGGTGGATTTTATAGTAGACATCATGTTCATTGTTGACATAATCATCAACTTCAGAACCACATATGTGAACTCCAATGATGAGGTAAACTGATATAATAGCCTTGCTAACTAACTGATCTATTGACTTACCTTCTGTGTGAATGAATGACTGACAGAGTGACCAATGAACAAATTATTGCCTCACTGGCTCATTTATAGAGAGGATTAGTAGTTTCAAAGTCAAACAAATGACCTGCTCATCAAAGTACTGTCAGCTGTCTCATCATCATCCCCACACTCCTATGTATGTATGTATATTTGTATATGTGTATATGTGTATGTATGTATATATATATATATATATATACAGTACAGGCCAAAAGTTTGGACACACCTTCTCATTCAATGCGTTTTCTTTATTTTCATGACTATTTACATTGTAGATTCTCACTGAAGGCATCAAAACTATGAATGAACACATGTGGAGTTATGTACTTAACAAAAAAAGGTGAAATAACTGAAAACATGTTTTATATTCTAGTTTCTTCAAAATAGCCACCCTTTGCTCTGATTACTGCTTTGCACACTCTTGGCATTCTCTCCATGAGCTTCAAGAGGTAGTCACCTGAAATGGTTTCCACTTCACAGGTGTGCCTTATCAGGGTTAATTAGTGGAATTTCTTGCTTTATCAATGGGGTTGGGACCATCAGTTGTGTTGTGCAGAAGTCAGGTTAATACACAGCCGACAGCCCTATTGGACAACTGTTAAAATTCATATTATGGCAAGAACCAATCAGCTAACTAAAGAAAAACGAGTGGCCATCATTACTTTAAGAAATGAAGGTCAGTCAGTCCGGAAAATTGCAATTGCTTTAAATGTGTCCCCAAGTGGAGTCGCAAAAACCATCAAGCGCTACAGCGAAACTGGCACACATGAGGACCGACCCAGGAAAGGAAGACCAAGAGTCACCTCTGCTTCTGAGGATAAGTTCATCCGAGTCACCAGCCTCAGAAATTGCAAGTTAACAGCAGCTCAGATCAGAGACCAGATGAATGCCACACAGAGTTCTAGCAGCAGACCCATCTCTAGAACAACTGTTAAGAGGAGACTGCGCCAATCAGGCCTTCATGGTCAAATAGCTGCTAGGAAACCACTGCTAAGGAGAGGCAACAAGCAGAAGAGATTTGTTTGGGCCAAGAAACACAAGGAAAGGACATTGGACCAGTGGAAATCTGTGCTTTGGTCTGATGAGTCCAAATTTGAGATAATTGGTTCCAACCGCCGTGTCTTTGTGAGACGCAGAAAAGGTGAACGGATGGATTCCACATGCCTGGTTCCCACTGTGAAGCATGGAGGAGGAGGTGTGATGGTGTGGGGGTGTTTTGCTGGTGACACTGTTGGGGATTTATTCAAAATTGAAGGCACACTGAACCAGTATGGCTACCACAGCATCCTGCAGCGACATGCCATCCCATCCGGTTTGCGTTTAGTTGGACGATCATTTATTTTTCAACAGGACAATGACCCCAAACACACCTCCAGTCTGTGTAAGGGCTATTTGACCAAGAAGGAGAGTGATGGAGTGCTGCGGCAGATGACCTGGCCTCCACATTCACCGGACCTGAACCCAATCGAGATGGTTTGGGGTGAGCTGGACCGCAGAGTGAAGGCAAAGGGGCCATCAAGTGCTAAACATCTCTGGGAACTCCTTCAAGACTGTTGGAAAACCATTTCAGGTGACTACCTCTTGAAGCTCATGGAGAGAATGCCAAGAGTGTGCAAAGCAGTAATCAGAGCAAAGGGTGGCTATTTTGAAGAAACTAGAATATAAAACATGTTTTCAGTTATTTCACCTTTTTTTGTTAAGTACATAACTCCACATGTGTTCATTCATAGTTCTGATGCCTTCAGTGAGAATCTACAATGTAAATAGTCATGAAAATAAAGAAAACGCATTGAATGTGAAGGTGTGTCCAAACTTTTGGCCTGTACTGTATATGTGTGTGTGTGTGTACATATAAACTAAGCACAAGAAGTAAGGATTAGTGATTGGTAGATTATTTTTTGTTGTAACAGTGCTTCTTGGCAATAAATCTTATACCCTTGGAAAGCCTGTTTATTTCCCTTTTACATGGTGCCACATTTGTAAGGAACATGCATTTGTGGAATGAGCAGCAGAGCTGAGTATGTGGGTTGCGCCCATGAAAAATCTTAATCTTCTCTGCCAGTGCCAAACAGCTTTTGTTTACTGTTGCTATTGACTCTTGTTTTGAGCTTCTGGTTCCCCCAGGTGGCACCTGATTGTCAGCACCTGTGAGCATGGGCCCTGCTACAATGGTCAGTTGGTATCTGCTCCAAGAATCGGCATGCAACATTTGACTGATCTGGATAGGGCCTGTGTGACAGGGCAACTTCAAGCTGGTGTTGTGCCAAGTTGCGGCATTATTTGGAGTGAGCCCTCTGTAAACTGAAGGGCAAGTTCCATGTAACAGCAACCAGTGGCAATCCCATATCTTCACAGTCTGGGACCGAACTCTGTCCTCCAAGATGACAACGCGCCCCCCCACAGAGCAGGATTTATCAAAAAAAAACTCCAGAATTTGGGAGTGGAGAGGATGGAATGGCCTGCCAGCAGTCCTGACCTGAGCCCCATTGAACACTTATGGGATCAGCTTGGGTGTGCTGTTCATGCCAGAGTGACCAACACAACCACGTTAGCTGACAGTTGCTTGTTGAAGAATGGGATGCCATTCTACAGCAGTGTGTGACCAGGCTGGTGACCAGCATGAGGAGGAGGTGCCAGGCTGTTGTGGCTGTGTCTGCTTTTTCCGCATGCTACTGAGGCTCCTGTTTGTTAAATGAATAAATTCTTAAATTGCCAATATGTCATGTTTCTTCAGACTTCAATCATCCAATCCACCAAACAACACCAAACAAGAGTCAACAGCAAAAAAACAAACAAACAAAAAAATCAGCAATACTCAGCTCTGCTGCAATACTCAGCTCTGCTGCTCATCCCACAAATACATGTTTCTTAGGTTGCACCATTTAAAAGGAAAATGAACAGGCTTTCCAAGGGTACAAGATTTATTGCCAAGAAGCATTGTTACAACAAAGAAAAAAATCTACCAAACACAAATTTCTTAAGAAAAGAAATTATGAATATATAGGTGAATGGTCCCCACTCTCAATTGACAAGGTTATGGAATTCTTAGTCAAATCTACGCTTTCTCTGTGAAAGTGGTTATTTAAATGTGATGACACACGTGGCCTACTGCTTGTGCTCTGTTGTCTCCTCAGGTAGTGAGCCAGTCTTCTCGGATAGCTGTCCACTACTTCAAAGGGTGGTTCCTCATTGATATGGTGGCAGCCATTCCTTTTGATCTCCTCATCTACCGCTCAGGAGAGGAGGTGGTTAGAGGAGGTGCAGAAGGAGAGGTAGGGCGGGGGAAAGAAGAGGATAGATGAGGGTGTGGTGAGAAATTGAGGTTTTTGTAAAAAGTGGGATAGTAGGGAGGAGAGACTATTGGGATTGCAGGGAAAGGGGAGCATGAGAGAAAGAAAAGAACACTTGGAAGCCACTGACTTAACAACAGTCTTATTTATTAGGGCCCACGCACAAAAGTGCCAGGGCCCAAAGGTCACTGCGCCCGGATGGCCTCCCATCATGAACCCCAGATGTGCGGGAATGCACGAGGGCCAGTTCATCACTGCTTGCCGCTCTGGAAAATTCTTCAGTATAGTTGCATTTTTAAGGGAACTGGGATGCTTGGAATCTGACAACATTTGGCATTAATTAGAGGAGTGGCAAAATTGTGAAGTTCTGCAGTTACAGGTAAATAAGAATAAAGGCAAATGTGTGGATTTAAGCAACAATGTGCTGAAATATGAACTGAAATAATTAATTTTATGTGGTAAGGCCAACTTAATTTTAACCAGATATTTAGTAAGATTATATCAATTTCACCCAGATATTAAGAAAACATAAATCAATGTCCTCCAGATATTTATTAAATCAAAATTAAATTTTTCGATTTACTAAATATTCCCATTACCCCATCCAACTCAGGTATGTTATAGTCTGTGATAGTAATTCATTCATGTTGCTTTTACCATTTTTTCCTTGCTAAAGGCTTTTTTGGGGGGAGTTCCTCCCTACATGTAGTGAGGGTCCAAGGACCGAGAGATGTTGTATGCTGTAAAGCCCTTGATGCAAATTGTGATTTGTGATATTGGGCTTTATAAATATAAATGAAAACTGAAATTAAATTCTAAACAATGCTGTAGCGGATGTTAATTTATATACTGTACTAACATACTACATCCCAGATACTTTTAGCCTCTGAACACATTTTGATGGTACAATAAGCTGAAAGTATAGTAACTAGGGGCTGGTACAAGGCAAGTCTGAGCCGGCCCTAACTGTAAGCTTTATCAAAGGGGAAAGTCTTAAGTCTAGTCTTAAATGTGGAGACGGTGTCTGCCTCCCGGACCGTAACAGGAAGATGATTCCACAGGATAGGAACCTGATAGCTGAAGGCCCTGGCTCCTGATCTACTTTTGGTAACTTTAGGGACCACGCGTAACCCTGCATTCTCAGAGCGCAGTGTTCTAGTGGGATTATAGGGCACTATGAGCTCTCTAAGATATGATGGAGCCTGACCATTTAGAGCTTTATAAGTTAACAGTAGGATTTTAAATTCAACTCTGGATTTTACAGGGAGCCAGTGCAGAGAAGCTAAAAGCTATCTGTTACCTACTTTTTTAATGTTTTTAAAGTAATTTACTATTATGCTGCAGCCTTTCCTCCTGCTCTCTGTTGCCCCTTTTCTACCAACATGGAGCCAGTACACCTAATTGAGAACTGTTCTGAGCATTTTGACTAAAAATAAATTGGTTCAGAACCTGAAAAAGTTTATCCTCAGCTGGAACCAAAAAGTAGCAGGTTTTCCTTCATACATAGATGCCACATTGACTGTGTCAGCCCCTTGCAGCGATGCGTCTGCAGCGCTGCCATATTGAAAAGGTCAGACTTGCCTGTAAACAAATGCAAGCAAATGTGGGAGCTGCTGTCTTTCTTGATAAAAACCTATAATGTCTTGTTTTGTTTGTTTGTTTGTTTGTTTTTTTTTTTTTTCAACTGATTGCAATGAGTGTTTTTTATATACAAGGGTTTATAATCTACATGCAGTGGAAAAAATAAACGTTTGTTAGTAGTTAAATAGAATCTGGATAATTATGCTATTATCACTACTGGACACTCAGTAGAGAAGTGCGCAGGGCTGCCAAGTTTCAGAAAATGACAAGAGTGAGACTTTAGTGTCATGATGCGTTCGGAAAAAATTTGGCCTTTTTTAACATCGATTTGGCCTGTTTTAACGTCGATTTTTACCTTAAGACTGATGTCCTCACCTCCATGCCAGCGACTCTCCCTGCACTGTGGCCTCTTAATGCTAGTCTTAATTAACCAGAAATCCTCATCCTCTGTCTCTGTGTTCTCAATTTGTATCTCTTCTACATCTTCGTTCTCACTGTCCTCAATCTCTTCTGATCTGTCTTGATCTTCTGTCTCTTCTGTGCCCTCTGCACTCTCATTTTCAGGGGGTGCATAAGGGGGGGTTGTCACTGGCACTGCCCAGAATGACAGCAGATCTCTCTGCTGTCTCTTCCTCTTACCTAGCATCTTTCAAAAGATAGCTACATGTTACTGTTTGATTGAATACTGTTTTACAGTGGTTCTCAAAGTGGATTCCAGGGACTCTGTGGGTTCCTTTAGGGGGGTCTAAATTGACCCTTACAAGGTCTGTAACTCTGACAGTGTACAAATGGAACCAAATGGACCCCAGTGGGTCCATTTGGTTCCATTTGTACACTGTCAGAGTTAAGGACAGACCTTGAAATTTAGAATTTTGAGAAACACTGCTTTAGGGGGGTCTAAATTGATATTTACAAGTCTGTAACTCTGACACACACACATTGAGACTAACGTTAGAGTCTCTTTTTCAAGTGTGAACTGGCCAAGAGAAGAGGCAAATAAATGTTACACAGCTCTGCAACAAATACAGGACAATGATAGACTTATAGCAGCCTTAAAACAGTACATATTAACTAGGAAACTCAAGGAGAAACAGCGAATCAACAGTTAACAAAATTGGGTAGTTACCTACCGTCCGTCTTCTAGCAAGCAGGAGAACGTCGAGTGGGTTTTAAATGTCGGCGCTGTTGTGTGTGAAAGATAGTTAGAGACGCCAAGACCCGCCTTACGTTGCTTCTGATTGGTTTATATTGCGTGGTGCCTTTCGTGGTTGGTTAGATTTAGGCACAAAGGACTGATGGATTGGTCTGGGATTGGTTATCTCAGTCAGTCAATCAGAGTTACTCGAACTACAGCAAGCCGCGAGGACCAAAGTTTATTATCATGAAAAAAATAAATATAGAGTATTGAATGGGGAAATATAAGCGTGAGAAATGTCAAGTGTGGCGTGTGGTGTGAGAATGGGTCAAATTGCGTGCTCTGAGTGCGTGTTAGGTATACATGAACTTTGTTACTTATGAGGTGTAAAATATGTCATGAGGAATTATAAATACTCAATTTGTCAGGCAAAAAATAAAACAAGCTAGGCTAATAGTGAAATGTTACTGTTAATGTCATAGTCCCACCTACTCACAACAGGAAGCTGGCCTTTTGTGACAAAGATGATCTGTTTTACATTAAATGTACATGGTGTGGTCTACAGATGATGTACGGCAACATAATATAATTGCTGCTCTCTGTCTCTTCCTCCTAACAGACCACCACACTGATCGGCTTACTGAAGACAGCCCGGCTACTGCGATTGGTTCGTGTCGCCAGGAAGTTGGACCGTTACTCAGAGTATGGTGCAGCTGTCCTCTTCCTCCTCATGTGCACCTTTGCCCTCATCGCTCACTGGCTGGCCTGCATCTGGTATTTAACTCTAATTTGTCCTGCAGTATTAACTCAACGCCACACTTGCTAGCTAGCTGTGTTGATTAAAATAGAAGCGGAGTTCCCTACAGGTCTTTCTGGGCACAGCAGTGAAGAACATATGTGACATAAGACATGGGTGACATAAGAACCAGATATCAATTTAATCATTGTTACAGTATATATGAAATATATATATGAAATGTACATTGGTAAAGAATATAAAACTAAAATGCATAAGTTTTATACAAAGATTAAGACATGGTGTGTGAAAAAAGAAAAACTGGGATGATGTGAGATGTGAGAAAGGATAAAAAAATAACAACAACAATAATAATAATACATGTAATGATTTACATAATAATAAAAGTTATGTATAGATAAACAACATAGATATGCAAAAGAATAAACAAAAATAACCTTTTTAAGTATTTCCTAAAGCAGACTAATTGTATGCACATATTTTCTATTACTGATAGACAGTGTAAGAGACTCAATGTCATTTTCAAAGTAAGTCATGAATAATTCAACAGATGGGAGTGATTTAGAACATTTTGTCTTAAAAATAAGAAGTTAAAAGTCAGTTGTATTTTCTGGCTTTTGTTTTTACGATATAGAATTATATGATTGCCATTTGACTTCACTGTATGGTTTGTTGGAGTTGCAGTTTTCTCTGGAATGCTTTGTATGTGAACATTGATAAAATCAATACGTTATTGTGATTTCATCAGACTAAAAAATCTTGTTGACATCTAAAAATGAGATGTCAGAGCTGGTGGTATATTTAGTTTGTAAAAAAATAAGATAAAAAATGAATGTGTACGGAGGAAGCCATGTTGTTTGCCGCTGAATACCAGGAATACAATTCCACTAAGAAAGTTCCACACGGATTTTCCAGGAGTGCAGTAATTTGATTTTACTGTAAAAACATTTTTATATGTTCATTATAGCTTTTAAAAATCAGAATTAACAAAAAACAAAAGGTTTATAGATTTTTTTTTTAACTCTCGCCTTCTGAATGTCTTTTCATCAGCTGTAGATTTCAATTAGGAAAAATATTTATTACAGCTTTATATTTTTTATATGTAATAGAAAAGGTCTGAGCAAGTATTTATTGAGTCTGGTTATGTATTCTTTATTATACAATAGTTTTGTGTGGGTACAAAATGTGGACTAAACAGAATTTTGCTGTTGTAAAAACCTGTTTTTATGGTCATTTTGTTACATCATAGTTACATGACAAGTTTTAACTGTAGGTCAAATATCGTAGGCTTCCAAATACTCTTTTTTATAAATGACACCATGAAAGAATTGTTACTGAAAAATAAATATTTCAAGCTTATTTTCAGGCAGAGGTGTGTCAGGCAGTGTTGAAGATGCTGCTTCCCATCGCAGTGTGTATAAGAGGCGCATTTTACATGTCTTCTTACCGCAGGTATGCCATAGGTAATGTGGAGCGGTCGACCTCGGCTGGAATTGGCTGGTTGGATAATCTGGGTGAGCAGCTAGGGAAGCTGTACAATGACTCCATCATCGGGTCAGGTCCTTCCATCAGAGATAAATATGTCACAGCTTTGTACTTCACCTTCAGTAGTCTGACCAGTGTAGGCTTCGGGAATGTCTCCCCAAACACCAACTCTGAAAAGATCTTCTCCATCTGCGTCATGCTTATTGGAGGTGAGTTCCACAAAAAACAAAAACAAACAAACAGAATAAGAAATTGAAAAAAAGGACTTCTTGGCCACATCAGGAAAACTAGCTAAAGTAACAGCAATTTGGTTTGAAACTAGAGAAAAACTAGAGATAAATTGCGGGTGTAAATGTTACATGCTAAATAGCTGACACTAGACTGCAATGCTTGCTTCAAATGTTGTTTAATACCATTAATGTAAGAATGATGTAGAAAATTTAAAAAAAAAAATTCAAAAGCTTACGCTATACTGCAATGCTGGCATAAACGTATAAGAAGAAGATAAAGCCATAGGAATAGCTACAAAAGTTCAAAGGGGTCAAATAAGTATGAATGTCACTAAAAAGTTCAATGATACCAATACGGTGGAATATCTCAAGGTTCTTGAAAAGCTGATGCCACACTGCAATGCTGTCTCATATGTGTAAGAATAAGGGGAAGTAATAGGAATAGTTGAAAGAGTGGAAATTGGTCCAGTGTGTGTGTCGCACTGCACTTATGAGCTCAGGTTGCCATGGTAATTGTAACTGCTCAGTGACTCCTGGAAGAGGCAGTTCATGTCACAGAGATTTAGCTGAAGTGCATCTCTCAAACTGGTGACCTTTCCTCAAAAACAATAAACTAGATCATTATAATTTATACTCTGAGAGAGAAGACAACCTGAGGAGTAAGCGGTGTAAAATTTGTGTCTGTAGTGTAAAATATGTGAGCATGGACGCAGGTTAGAAAACTGGTATGATCTGCTGTCATCCTGATTTATAGTCTCATTGAGTTGACTGCGTCAGTTCTCACTTTCAGGCTCACTGTGCCAAATGATTGCTTCCAAAGTAATATTGTTTGAAAGAGCACACATTTTACTCCATTTTGACCAAAAAATATGTATGTAGAGTGAAAATTGTGGATGTGACAGCAAGTTAAAGAGAAATGTTTAAGAAGCTCTCTGCACTCTGACAGTTCAGTCCCCTACTCAAGCCCTGAACATTCCGTCGCATAAAGAGCCATAATAAAACCTGAGGAGGGCACCAAAAAAAAAATGAAGAAACAGTTGGGTCAGGGTAATGCGGAATAATAATCTGAAACTACTACCAGTGATACTAATAATAATAGAAATAGCAATAACAGTAACAATTATGACAATGATTACAATAATGATAATAATAATAAGAAGAACAATGATATAGACATATATATAGTAATACAGTCAGTAATATAGTAAGAGAAAGAGAGAAAAAGATATATAGAGAGAGAGATTAAGGAGAAAGGAAATTACAAAGAGAAATGGGGGGTGTATAATTA